ATTGCCATGGGCCATTTCCTGATTCCTGCTATTCTGACGTGAATTTCTAATGGTTGATGCAAGTTTTGTGTTAGTTTACCAATTTGCTTATAACTTATTGCTGTACTCTGTAAAGAGAAATAGAAGAATTTATCATGATGCCTCATGTTGATTTCATTATGCACAGATGAGAAAGCAATGAATATAAAGATATAGTGTAAAAAAAAGGAAGCTGGATATAAATGCACTGTCAAGCAGGCGGTAGGCAGAGATTAGTTACTACAGACCACTGGAAAGACCACACGGTTGGAAGGACCATTTTAGGCCTACAACATGTTAACCGGTGATTAAAAATGTTTGAGAAACTTTGCCAAACAAGACAAACTACCTTTCTGTAATCTGCACAGGAATGTTATTTTATGTATGCCTCACATGCACACGCTCACATATATTTAGGTCACAGGTATTTTTAGGAACAAACAGAGTAAGAGAAAGTCATTGATTAGTGCAGTAAATTATTTATCTTCATCTTCTGAGGAGGCTTTGCCGATTTCCGCTCTTACTGAACCTGAAGACAACAATTGACTCAGCCTTGACCTATCCCGTAGCCTTGACCTACCCCATAGGCTGTGTCAAACAGCTGACCTGCTGAGGTTGCATTACACAAAACATCTCTAGCTTCAGCATCAGAAATACAAAAAAAAAAAAAAAGGCAAAGCAGAAGCCTAAAGAGCTCCTGGGCTGCGTTTCATGTGCCAGATCACCACAGCAGGGAATATGGACTGAAACTCCAAAGCAAATTTAAAGTGACCTCCCAGTTGTTTCCATGTTCAGGGGTTCCCTTCAGGGGTAGATTTGTTCTCAGGAAAGCAGGTTTGGTTTCAGGACAGGACTCTGGAGACTGACTCTGCCCATTTCTCTGACTATTGAACCAAGGGGACCAATTGTACTAAGAGCAACAAACCCCATCTCCACCGCGTGTCCCCAGGTCCTCTCCAGCGGCGGCTCCATTGCTCACCTGCAGAATTTTGATGGTTGTCTTGAACAGCCCTTGTTCCTGAGGAGCTCAAGTGGTGGATCAGGATGTCATTGAACTGAACTATATATGGAGCAAAAAATAAACCCCTTCATTCACAAACCTGCACGGGCAAAACACATGCTTTGGTGACTGGCTGCAATGACAGGGCACGTTCTGACACCTGGAAACCTCTGCTTGATCAAGCGTGAAGGGGATGTTGCACTGAGCACACCCATGTTTCCTTACAGAACTGATGAAACTCAGTGCTGCACTGCTGCTTCATGCAGGACCACCTCACCTTGCTGAAACCGCTGGCCAATACACCTCACAAGAGCTAGGCAAATGCAGAATCATAGAATTGTTTTGGCTGGAAGGGACCTTTCAGATCATCAAGTCCAATCATCAGCCCAACACTGCCCAAACCACCACTAACCCATGTCCCTCAGCATCACGTCTGCCCAGTTTTTAAATCCCTCCAGGGATGGCGACTCCACCATTTCCTCGGGCAGCCTCTTCCAATGGTTGATAACCCCTCCTGTGAAGAAACTTTTCCTAGTATCCCTCCTAAGCCTCCCCTGGAGCAACATGAGGCTGTTTTCTCTTGTCCCATCACTTGTTACATCTCAGTACGTATTTTCTGTATGAGAGTGTGTTTCCTGCAGGGCACTCCAGTTCCCCAGACCCCTCTGGGGGACTGTCACATCCCTGGTCCCATCACTTCCCCCTGCACACAGCCAGCAGTGGTGCTTGGGCACCTGGGGCTGGGCTCACTGTCAGCATCAGCACAGTATGGTCCTTGCTGGCCTAAGGAGATGAGGGACACGTACAAATTGGAATAATGTCTTTCTGCCTGTCTATTAATGGCACTTTCCTTTCCTGGGAGGGCTTCCCTCCCACCCAAAGCCTTGAATACACTTCCCATGACCCGCACAAGGGGTAATGACTGGAAAGTGGAAGAGAGGAGACTTAGACTAGGTATCAAGGAGAAATTCTTTGGTGTGAGGGTGGTGAGAGCCTGGCCCAGGTTGCCCAGAGAAGCTGTGGCTGCCCCATCCCTGGAGGGGTTCAAGGGCAGGTTGGAAGGGGCTTGGAGCAACCAGGGCAGTGGGGTGGGACTGGATGATCTTTAAGATCCCTCCCAACTCCAACCATTCCATGACTCGATGAACATACTCTGCCTGACTTTCAGCCCCACAGCCTGTGTGCTCTGGCTCCTGCCAGGCGCTGGGTGCACCCCAAGGCTCAGCGCCCGCTTTATTACCCTGGAGGCTCCAAAACCCTTGCGGCAGCTTCTCCCACCGCTCCCAAACACCCCGCAGGTACCGGGGGCTGATGGCCCTGCCCTCCCCTGCCTTCCCCTGCCCACTCTGCCCACCCCCTCCTCTGCCCACTCTGCTCACCCCTCCCCTCCCCTGCCCCCTCTGTCCACTCTTGCCCTCCCCAGCCCACCC